GCCCTCTGAAATAAAGTTCCTCGACTTAGCAACGATTCAGACCCTTTTGGCAACTGACTCGCATTTACGACGGTCGCAGTTTTCCCAAGGGGATCATGTGACTCTCACCCGTTTTGCAACTTCCTGACAAGCAAAGTCTACGGGCCGGGGTCTCCAACTTTGGCCACTTTAAGCCTGGAGGACTTCAACTCCCAGAATCCTTTGCTGGCTGGGGAATTGTAGTTGAAGTCCACCAGGCTTAAAGTAGCCAAGGTTGGAGATTCCTGGTCTGCGGGGAAGCCGCGATTACTTTCACTGTTGTGACTAACAGAACCACAAACTCTGATTGTCGTCTCCTGGTCTGATTCTCCGGTCTGACTCTGATTTCAGCTCCTGGCGCATCAAGGCTGTGAAAACGGGGAAGTGGCTTCGTCGGGAGAGTGCTGTGCCCTGTGCCCGCCGGGCTTTGGGGCACGGGTGCCTTGCGGGAGTAACAAGACCATTTGCGAACCCTGCCAAGAAGGTGAGTATCCACCTCCTTGTGGGGTAAACCCCCACTTGGAATCTACAGATGTAGAACAAAATCAGTCCCCTATTCTAGAGATGGGAAATACCCCGTTCCCCTGAAAATAAGATCCAACTGGAAAATAAGCCCTAGCATGATTTTCCCCAGGATGCTTGTAATATAAGCCCTACTCCAAAAATAAGCCCCAGCTAAGATCATCAGCCAGACGGACACATTTGGAACCGTATTTCCCCCAAAATAAGACCCAACTGAAAATAAGCCCTAGCATGCTTTTTTTCGGGGTGCTTGTAATGTAAGTCCTACCCCAAAAATAAGCCCCAGTTAAGATTGTCAGCCAGATGGATGCATTAGTACCGTATTTCCCCCCCAAATAAAATGCAATTAGAAAATAAGCCCTAATGCATCTTTTGGAGCAAAAATTAATACAAGACCCTGTCTTATTTTGGGGGAAACATGGTAGTACAGTAGTAGAAACCGGGAGGCTGAGAGTTCTAGTCCCGCCTTACAAATGAAAGGCGTCTGGGTGACTTTGGGCCAATCACCAGGAGACGGTGAGTTCTAGTCCCAC